CGCCATTCCGCAATCGCAGGAGGGTCGGTGTAATGCACTACCAAAACGCCCGTAACTAAGAAACAAATGCTAATTCGATGATGCCGGCTGGCACACTGATTCACTATGAATGTAGGCCGCACCCCCTAAAGGCAGAAGCTCGTACTACATCCGGTTCGCCCGCTATTGACACAGTCTTGAAACTTTCCGATCGCACCTCGTATACGTGACTGGTTCTTAGGTCTTTTCATGATTGTTTAACTGCAGAGATGATATTGCGTCGAGCGGGTCCATCCATTAGTCTAATGATGAGTAGGTAAGGAGGTGGACGGAGACGGTAGATACAGTATGCTCCATTTAAAACGCAGCCCTAACCACTTCACATGAACACCTCAATCATTAACCGAATTCCACTGAGTATAGCTGCAGATGGAATATCCAGACGGATATATAGGCATGATCTATAAATTTAATTAATGTCAGTAAATTACTCTCTTATATTGTAAAACTGATAATATATCCCCGCGGCTCTTGTCAACAAATAAGTTAATTACTGTCAAGCAAAATGCAAGAAAAGGGGACAATGCAATGCATCCAAAGAAACACAGCATCTTATTGTGATCATAATGAAACTAACATTTCTGTGACGTGAAGACGGCATTAAACTAACAATGAGGAAGTGAGCTACGCAATTAAAATCCCACTCGTAATTACAACTATCTGAAAAGCTATAGAGTTATTTTCATGAATTCTACAATTAAATGCTGTCAAGGATGAAGTGCTCACGAACGGGTAATTTAGAACTGTTCTTAAAGTTTGTTTTATTGTGAACTACGTAGAAATCCAACTGGCTACGTATGCAAACGTATGATTGAGAGCAGGTCCTTACCAGAGGTGTTATACTACTGGGCTGTTGTTGCAAGACAATTTCCATTGGTGGTCACTGTTCTAATGTCAGTAAAGTAGATAATGGTTAACAATAACAACCATCATTTTGGACATATCAACCTGTCACATGCAAAATCCCTTTCGGCTTACAAATTGATAAAGGACCTTGATTATGTGTAAAAGATTAGATGACGACATTTAAAATTATGCGTTGAAAGTACAAAGCAACAAGGAGCGCGAAAGAGTTGCACAAAGGCACATTAAACCGTAAGCATTGGCTAAAATTATCCATGTACCTGTACAAAACAGGCAAAGATGACTGAAAAAGAAAATCGACTGTTAAATGGTATGAATTTTTCCCGTTCTTCGTCATTTGAAAGGTCAAATGGTCGAAAATGCTCTGATAATAACTGAGAACTTTTTAGTACGTGCTTGCCAGTGAAGTGTGCACTGCATACAATAAGAGGTCGCAAGCGGTCAAATGACGGCAACACGTTCTCTGAGATCATCACCGCTTCTATCATCATCTCATTCAGACATTTAAATGCTGCAGATGTGCCCTGCCGCTCGGGATGACAGGTCGGTATTATCCGCCACAACACTGCGATCGCGGGTTCTAATTCCGCTCCGGGCATTGGCGTTTGTATGCGCTTTTTATCGTTACTGCTGTACCCAGTCTAAAGGGTAGGAGGATATAGAACCTCTGTTACAGAGTACACGACTGTAGAAGTTTATCGAAATTTCGGAGGTTACTGTTGCCTCCATCATTAAGGCAATAACCTGAAACCTCACCCAGGAAACCTCTATGGGTAGGCTAATCTTCTCTACGTCCCGAGATTCAAACCCTTCTTACACACGTCGTCCTGATGATGGATGCAGCAAACACCTCTGAAACGTCTGTAAACTTCTACCAGACTACACGGTACAACATCCCAAAATACAGCTGTAGCAGTGTTCAGTCTTATGAGTGCTGAGTGTCAGTATACTATAAATGACCCAGAATAATGTTACCACGTCGCAGAAATCTGTGTTATGAGAATTTTAAATAAATACAAAACACGGTCAAACATGCTGCATTACTGTTTGTTACCGCAGTATGAGTAGCCACGGTGGTCTAGCGGTTACAACGCTGGCCTTGTAATCCTGGGGGTCTCGGGTTCGATTCCCGGCGGTGCCCGAATTTATAACTTGTGTTGTGCAAGGCCGTGGTCTAGGCAACACGGAGTTTTCCTCCGGGGGCTTCCCCGGTTTCTCCGTGGCATCCCAACAATTACTCCATTCACACACAGAAGAAGGCAATGGCAAACCACTTCTGGATCATCTGCCAAGAACGTATATGAACAGGTCCCAGTCCGAGAAAAGGATGGAAGGATCCTGTTCATATGGACCTGTCGTCAGACAGAACACTAAAAAAATAAAAAATAAAAATTCCGAAATAAGTAACCTCCAAAGCTGGCGCAGGTAGTCCACAATGGCTTTCACAAGTTTTCCTGTGACTGTTACGACCAAAGGAAACAGACCTACAGGCCTATTTGACAAGGGGTTATTATTTTTTTATTTTTAGATACTGTGAATGGCTCGCATGTGTCCTACGACGTAGGAAGCAAAATACAGTTCCCTCATAGACATTTTGTAAACAAAGTGTCCCGTTCTACACGGAGAATAATAAGAACGCGCAAAAGAAAAGTTTGTCTATATGTCCACATATTTCATAACCGATTTCTACTTGACTGATTCCCATTACATTTTGCATTTCGAATCCACACTTTAATTTGTGACATGGGTTTAATTTTGATACGATGGACTATAGTAACCCAGGGTTTTCATGAAAATCGAACTGAACTGAATCTGATATTTCAAGAACGGCTCGTCGTGTACTGTGTGTACTGGTCTTTTACAACCGTACTTCATATAAAAACCAAACTTAGCTTTTAAAAAAGTTCTCACTGTACAAGAAATTTATACAGCCTACATAAAAATGATGATATATAATGTAGATCACACTATGAACTACATATTTTATCTGAGCTGTTCTTCTCTATTGTGAAATTTTAGAAAATACTCAAAATATTTTCTGCCCTATGCAGCGTAGTATCTGTAGTGCGACAAGCTTTGCAGCAGTTGTTTCAACGAATGACATCAATGCCAATGGGGCATCTGAAGTGTTTCTGAACAGACTGATAAAATCTAGCCCCTTAACACATTTGTCCTTTTATTTTTC